ATTGTTGTCGTGGCCATGCTAGCGGCTGCTGCATCAGCAGCCAGCGAAACGTTGCCATCAGAATCATTGTGCTGCATCCCTCTCGTACATGTGCTTTCGTTCAAGCCAAGGCTGCGTAAGGATAGCACCCACCACCCAAAAGCCACAAGCCACAAGGAATCAGCCAGGCGAGTGATTATAATCAGCCAGGCATTTACATTCATACTTGTTGAAGTCCCCTTACACCACCACAGATTGCGCGTCACGTCACGCTATCGGCAAGCAGGTATGTATGGTCACACAGATATGCATGGTCACACAGATGTGTATGGTCACACAGATATGTATGGTCACACAGATATACACTTCCTGGCCACATGCCCGGGAAAAATAAAGAGCTAATGAGGCGGGCATGCGTTGGCTGTAGATGTGGTGTATACGTATTTGGCCCAATCGTCGGGGGTGCGTGTGTACGCACGTCCTGTACGATTTGTACGTGTACGGTCGTCGTAGTCCCGACGTTAGACGGACGACGTTTAGTCGTTCCGTCGTCGGGACGGAGACCTTACCCCAGCTTAACGTCCGTCTGTCCGTCCGTCCGTCTGGTCGAGCCTCTGGAGAGTTGGCCTTTTTCGCCGTGTCGTTCGCGGTTTCGGAGCTGCGTCGTTTTCGCTAGCTCCGTCGCCGCTTGGGAGCCGCGGTCGCCGGTTCGCGTCCCGTCGTCGCCGCTTTTTTTCGTTTTTTCGTTCGGCGCGCCGCGTCGCACGTGGATTGCACCGCATCCGCACCACACCTGGGGCGGCGCAACGCGCCCCGGAGCATGGCCGTGCGCCGCTTCGTCGGGCGCGCTAGCTCCGACGTCGAGTGGGAGCCGCGGTCCCCGGTTCGTCCCGGCGCCGGCGAGTCGTTTTGTCCTTTTTAACGTTGCGGCTCGCTGGCTTCGTCGCCGGGCGCCCGCTTTCTTCTATTTTTCGTTCGGGAGCGCTGCCTTCATCGTCGCGTGGTTCGTTTTTCGCGTCGTCGTCGTTTATTGTTCTTTTCTTTTCGTTCTGGACTGGACCGTGCACCGCACCGCGTCGTCCCGGACTGCACCGCTCCACGCCTGGGCCCGCGCAATGCGCCCCCGAGCATCACCGTGCACCGCTTCGGTGTCCGCGCCGCACCGCACTGCACCGCGTTGCACCGCACCGCGCCACACTGCGTGTGGCAGTGCATCACACCGCACCCCACCACACCTGTAGCCGCGCAATGCGCCCTGGTGTATCGGCGCTCACCGCTTGTGGTGTGCGCTAGCTCCGACACTGAATGGAAACCGCGGTCGCCGGCTCGATCCCGGTGCATGAGTTGTTTTTGTTTTTTTGTTCGGGACCGCGCACCGCACCGCACCGCACTGCACCGCACCGCACCGCACCGCGATTTAACGCGCAAATCACAAAACATTGGCTGCACCACACTGCGCAATTTGACATGCGCCGACTCGCGCATTTTAACGCGCAACCCACCACACAACTCGACGTGCAATTAAACATGCAATTCAACGCGCAATTTAACGTACACCGAACCACGCAATTTGACGCGCACTGAAGTGTGCAGTGCTTGTCCAACGTTGTCCGTGTAGGCTGTACGGCATTTTGTGAAGCTGTTTTGTTCACGGACGTTGGCTCGCTACAATATAATTGCACCGCATATATACGCATCCGGTTTACTTATTTTCAGATACGGTACCGCGGCTGAGCGGTTGCTTTAAAGCTGGCGGTTGTAAACTAGTTGCGCCGCCGACATAAGCTGCGCGGTATTTCGTGAAGCTGGCCTCTTTACATGCATCGGCTCGCTAACCGATTTTCGCCAGACGACAACATCTCGGCACATCAACGGTTGTTCATCACCATCGATGGCTATTCATCGCCATCCTCGTCTGCACGTCCTACACGATATAAGGTCAGTCCACATTGCAAAGCAGTAGCAATGAATAGAAACGACGAATAGCAGTGAGTAAAAACGATAGCAAGAATAGCAAGGAATAGAAACACAACGCGCACCGAAGTGTGATGCGCAACACAACCTGACCCGCGGGACGGTTTGCGCGGTCGGTCGCGTTCGCTGGGTCGTGTACCGCGTTTTTTTTATTTCGATTGAGGCCGCCCACCGCACCGCGCGCGTCATGTCTCGCCTCGTCATGCTTCGTCGTGCTATATCACCGTGCTGACTCTGCCACCGTGTTGGAGCCGCAGTCGCCGGCTCGATCCCGGCGCCCCTGCGTTTTTGCCTTTTTTTTCATTCGGGAGCGCGCACCGCACCGTACCGCACCGCACCGCACCTGGGGTCGCGCAACGAGCCCTGGAGTATGGGCGTGGACCGCTTCGTTACGCACGCTAGCTCCATCACCGCGTGGGAGCCGCGGTCGCCGGCTCGATCCCGGCGCCTGCACGTTTTTTCCTATTTGTTCGTACGGGAGCGGGCACACCACTGTACTGCACCACACCGCAGCTGGGGTCGCACAACACGCTCCGGAGCATCGCCGCGCACCGCTTCATTGTGCATGCTAGCTCCAGCACTGGCATTCCACAGCATTCCTTCCATGGTCGAATGTCGTTGTGTCAGGTGGTGGTGCTGGTGCCGTGCACCAGTTTTCAACGGTAA